AATAAACATACATTTTCAGAGAAAACAACATTTTTCTGCGGTTGTCAGAAACCAGAAATAATCCAGAGGCCCCGGGATGGCCACAGGCTTCCTCCGTGCAGGAAACTCTCCAGGCCCAGAGCTGACCCCTCTACTTGAAAGTGTCACTAGTGAGGAGGCCCTTTGTCATAGAACGGCTCTCACTGAAGACTCTCCAGAACAGACTGGCTGTTTTTTGTTTTGTGTTTTTTTTTTTAATCGCAACAGTGCGCTACGAGTGCCTATTCCTTTTTCTGACACAATCAAATACCACAGCTTCGGCGAAACCAAACGCTGAATATGAATGGACTGAAGGGAGGGGCGGGTCAGCAGGCAGGCTTTTTTGGGGTTCTTTGGCCGATACTGCCAAAGATGGAGAACATTCTTTCAGAGGACAGCAGCGAGCGAACGGATGGAGTAAGCGAAGAGAGCTGCAGTGGGCTCCAAAGTAAATGGAGTGGAGTCCGATCATCTGACTAAAAGGAAGGGGGCGGTTACACTGTCATCTCCAGCTCACAGGGGTGGCTCTGGGTCCAGAGAACGGGCCCACTTTTTATCTGGAAGGGGGGGCCTCGCCGCCACAGTTCCCCAAAAACGCCATCGGGATCAATCTGCATGCTCAGAACATCTCCCACCCCTTCCCCAAATGTCCGGGGATGGGATCCAACATTTAAATACCCAGGATCTCCCATCTCTGTCCATCCACAAGGGCAGGGAAAGATCAGGCGACAGTTAATGGGAAAATATCCGGAGAGAAACATTCTCCTCACAAAAACGTGGAAGGTTTTTAGACCCTTGCTGGTGGTCTCACGCGAACTGTAGAAGGCATCTGTTTCCAAGAATTTTCAAGGAATAATTCTATACAACAGATTCTGTGCGGAAGAGTCTGGCTCCTATAGGAAGGTCAATTTCCATAACAAAAGGAGCTGATTGCGTGCTATTTGCAGTGTGGGGTAGTGGAAGGACCCCAACTACTCACAACTCCTTTGTCTGAACCAAGCACCAATTACCCTTCAATAGTATTTAATTTTCCACACATCAGACATCTCTATCTCCTCAAGACCCAAGAAATTGCTCTGAAGAAGCAGAACAAAAAAAGGTCCAGAGAAAGAGAAAGAATGACAGTCTTCCCTTATCTAGGATTTAAGACATTACAAAAACGCAACTGATTCACAGACGCTGAAATTGGCCCAGTTCGCTCTTCTGCACATGGGGGATGTCCTTTCCGTCCTGTTCTCCTTAGGAGGGGACCCAAGACACCACAAGGAAGTGTAAAATGCTCTCCATATGTTCATTATAACTGGGTTTCAAACTCTACATCAAGTTTCTCTTTTTAAAGAAAGCTATCCCATGGTCAACTGCACTGTTTCCACTTAACAGAGAAAGCACAGGATTGTTTTAGGGGATGGGCTTTTCGTAAAAGCCAACGGTGGTCCCAGTGGGAATATAACTTTTATTTTGTCATCAAACCGAAGAGTTCCCCTTTTATGTCTAAACATAATGAATGAGGTGAGATCATCACCGTTAAATAGATACTAGCGTATCTTATGTCTAGCAACTTTTTTCTCACCTCATCTTCTCAAATCTCCACCAATTTTTTGGCCGGCTTTTCCTTCTATGCTGCTGATAAAACCACACTGTCAAAAATACCCAAAGGCCCCACTACCTTGAAGGCTTCGACCTCATCTGTGTCCCACGGACACCCTCCGTGCAAAATCGACCCCAAGGACAGGCTGTATGTCCCCTAGTCTGGTCGGGCCTGGAAAAGGACAAACTGCTCTAGTCAGAGAGAGCTCCAGGTGGCCTCAGTGTTCCATCTGGTGCTCATCAGGGTGGATGCGGGTTCCCCCAGAATTCCCCACGGCTGGCCTGCTGGGGTGTGTGTGGGGGGGGGGGGGCTGGGGTCCCGCGGAGAGGCGGGCGGGTGCTCCTTTGAAGTTCACAGTTCAGTAGACCCTGGGTGCTCACAGCACAAATTCTGGGGGCCTCATTCTCGCCTAGCCCTTCCCAGATGTCCATTAGGCCGGGCCCGGCTCCTGAAAAGCTGGCGGAGGGGGCCGGACACTAAAATGTGAGACAAGGGGGAAGTTAAAGAGAAGGGGTGAGAAAGTCGTGGGGTGAAATGCCCCTCTTGGCCACCTCTCATCTTCTCTAACTGCCCTGGTTGCAGGCTGGATCCTGGAAAAGGGGGCTCTGAGGCGAGAAGGGGTAGCAATTACAGGTCTTTTCTCTTCCCCTGACCTAGAACGGGGACCCACACCGGGGCTGATGTCCTGTAAACAGAGGGCTCCAGGGAACCCCTAACTCCCAGACAGGGCTTCCTCGCTTTTCTTCTTTCCTCCTCAGGTAGCTCTGCCCTGGGGCCCTTCCAGAGTGTGACAGAGATTAACTCTCTTAGCCAGATGGTCATGCACAGACAGCAAAGTTCTCATCTGCATTTCTGCCTACATAGCAAAGTGGCAAAACCATCAAGGAGGAGGACGCAGAGTGGGTAAGAAAGGGTCATAAATACTGGCTGGAGACACTGAATTGACTGCGGAGTTCCTTTTAAGGATACACAGTCCAGAAATTGGGGGACCAATCCTGTCGCTCCTATAGCAGTTCAACCAACTAAATACAGACAAGAAGTTAGTCGGTCTCTCTCTGTGTGTGTCTGTCTCCCTGGGAAAATTAATTTTTTCTTTGGCAGATGGTTGAGTCACAAAGACAGAAGGATTCATAAAATTCACATGAACATCCTGTAAACATTTAAACACATAAAGATTAAATAAGGCAACCATGACCTTGATTAAGGTTCAACTTTCTTTGTTGTTTTTTAGTTTTTTTTTTTGGTAATGTCTACAACCCTAAGGCCTGCAATTTGGAGGCTTACCTCCCCACCTCTTCTGACATGGTCAGCTCTCACTGGGCGTGTTGCATTGTACGTGCAAGCATGCGCTGTTTGATTGATTCGTTTTACAACGGGAAATTAAAGGCATC